CAAGGCATAATGTAGACCATAATTCAACGCGTCGGAAAACTGAAGCGCCGCAAAACATAATAGGGCAAAATAAGTGCAGCTAAGTCAAAGAAAAATGAGCCCAGTACAGCCGTGCCATGAGAAGGCGTTCGACAAGCTGGCTTACGGAATGACACATAAACTGCCGTGAGGAGAGAGGAAATGGTACTAAAGTTGTTTGAAGACTCCATGAGGACCGCACACATGGTGCCAGCAAAGTATGAAGTCCTGCAAACCTGGTCTTGAACGACTGAACACTTCAAGCAGTGTTATTCATACTTTTAACGTTTCAATGTTTTGAACACCGCTGCCCACCGCATTGAAAAAATTGTTATAAAACAATGCCAAACATCATAATAATTTTACAAGGAGCTGATCAAGCGTAAGCCTTACAGCAACTGTTGCGTGTCTAATACTCATAATGCAGACAGGGTTCTAAATTACGTAAGTTGTTCAGTGCATTAGCGAGGAACATCATTCACGTAGATAAGACAGCAGTATCAGCCTTATTCCTCGGACAAAAACCAGGAGAATGGAGATATAGTTCGGTTGATATTTCGGCAACGTGCCTTTATAGAAACAGTAGCAGAATTGAAGTCAAAACTGCCTGCCAATGATCCCACTCGATTTTTAAGTTTTTTTTAAAGTAAGCCACAATTTTTACAGGCCACTAATATTCAGGGAATTGAACAAAGGGCGATTGCCAACCATTACCGCGATGCAGTGTCTATCTGATACTTGGAATGCGCGAACTTAGTGTCGTGTAAACGGATTCAGGCAAATAGGTTTCACGCATCAAGCTTCATTCAAGCATGCAAGCGATTTGAAGTAAACAGGCATCACAAATTGCGCATCAGTTATGCTTGCAAACAATTTCAATTGAACAGGCATCGCACATCACTCGTCAGGCATCACTTACACATGTAAACGATTTTAAGCTAGCACACATCACACATAAAGGCACATACCATGTTCGCATAATCGGCCATGATGACCTCTGTATGTTAACATTTGGTCGCCGACTTTCTATAAGACTAGATTCACTTATTTTTCTGTCAGGGTGGTCCTGTGCTCTGTAGATGACTTTGAGCTGTAAAAGAGGCATAGGGTCCATACTAGCCTCGATTTCAGCCTGAGCGTGTTTTGCCAAAAAATGTTCACCTAAAGGGGCATTCCCTGCTTTGTTTTTAGCGAAATATATATTTTGGAGCTATAGCTGGGTTGAAATATCAATCCAGCTATATCTCCATTCTCCTGTTTTTTTTTCTCCGAGGAATAAGGCTAATACTACTGTCCTACCAGACGGGGTTCTGATTGAGACCAATTTGAGGGATTTGTTCGGCGGTAAGATTACCTCAAGTCGTGGGGCTCGAGTCCTCCCTTCCCTTCCTTTGTTCGGCGGTAAGATTACCTCAAGTCGTGGGGCTCAAGTCCTCCCTTCACTTCCTTTGTTCGGCGGTAAGATTACCTCAAGTCGTGGGGCTCAAGTCCTCCCTTCCCTTCCTTTGTTCGGCGGTAAGATTACCTCAAGTCGTGGGGCTCAAGTCCTCCCTTCACTTCCTTTGTTCGGTGGTAAGGTTGCCTCAAGTCGTGGGGCTCAAGTCCTCCCTTCCCTTCCTTTGTTTGGCGGTAAGATTACCTCAAGTTGTGGGGCTCAAGTCCTCCCTTCCCTTCCTTTGTTCGGCGGTAAGATTACCTCAAGTCGTGGGGCTCAAATCCTCCCTTCCCTTCCTTTGTCGGCGGTAAGATTATCTCACGTTGTGGAGCTCAAGCCCTTTCTTCCCTTCCTTTGGTCGCGCCCATGCTGTTCCAATGTAATGAATGTAATAAATGAACGATGCAATGCAATGAATGTAATAAATACAACCAATCAGAAACCAAAACAGAAATATGATAAGGCTATGGACATCACTGTTTTCTGCTTTCTGTCTCCTTTCCCCCAGATTACATTGATACCAAAATGCTAAAAGACAACGAAGTTTATGTTTCAGTTTTCCCCGAGTGACAAAGTCAAGATCAGACAATACACCAGCCATTCAGATTATCTTAGCTTGATCAGCCCAGCTTGAACCCTTACCCAGTTTATTTAATAAAACCACAATTATGTTGCCCTGGTAATGTGCTGCCGAAATGATAGGGCCTATCATCCTTCAGGAGCAAAGGCTTGCTGAGTTTCTACAAAAATGTACGTTTTTCAGTGAAGTGCATTATTAAAAGTTATGATAATCGTGATTGTTATCCCGATTTCTGTACCAAGAAGATAATCCGTAGTCGTTTTTCGTAGCGTACTGCCACAGAGCCTCATAGTGAGATATCTAATAACTCACGTTGAGCCATTCTGCGATCAAAACGTAATGATTCATCTGCGTCTGGTAGTGTGAGCCCTGACTCCCGAACACGCCACTGAGCCACGACCAATGACTGCTGATGTTACAGATTATATGGGCTAAGCTCTGGGAAAACTGGGCATGCTTCATGTTGCGTCAGATTTTCAGGAGTACTGCCATCCAGTTGCATTCAACAGAGTGGTGAGGATACAGCCAGCATAGAAACTCATGGCGAACCAGATCAATAGCCATAACGCCCACGACCGCGCCTGCCGCGGCCGCGGCCGCCGCGCCCCAGGCTCCTGCAGTCCTGCTCCTGCCCCTGCTCCTCCTTGACCGCCGCCCGTGCGGTCACAGTCCGACAGCCGCCGCCTGGCCATGCGGAGGACAAAACAAAAGGCTTCGTCTGCATCCGGCGGTCTGAGCCCTGATTAGCAGCTCGGCCCGGCCGCCAGTGGGCCGTCACTACAATGTCACGACCGATGCCCTCGTTGGTGGCGTATGTCGACGGTGCGTGCTAACAGAGGCCTCGCTGGTTGAGTCGTTGATAGACGCCCCGACGAGGTTGGTTGGCCATTCGTGTCGCCCCCGCGTCGATAGCCACTGGTGATCGCTCCGATGGCGACAGCCGCCCTGGTGCTGCAGTGACCCCCACGATGATAACCGAGCAACGTGGCTGCTCGTGGTTATTGTCGCCGCCAGTGGGTGATAATGGTGATGGTGAACGATGCTGAGCTCGGCGGCGATAGCGCGCTGGCGATGATGTCCATGCCGGTGGTGATAGTCCCCGCCTGCCGCCGGCTGATAGTCTTGTTCTGGTCGTCGACGCGACAGTGCGGCTGGCCAGATCTTGCGTGAGATGGGACGCGGCCGGTAATTGCTGCGGCGGCGGTATCTCACCGGATCAGACGACAGCTTCGCAGCGGCACCGATCCCCCACCGCTGATTGGTCGGCGGGCGGCGCGGCCCGCACGTGCGCCGGGCAGCGGCCGCGCCGGGTGTCAGAAGTCGGGTCGGAGATGCGGCTGATAGGCTAACAGGCGGCACGCATGCGAGTGCGGACCCTACGACAGTGACGTAACATCGTTTGTCGTGGAGCCGGGATGGCGGATGCTCCATCGGCAGAGGTGGGCCCGACGAGAGGCTCCCAGCAGTCTGTGAACACCGCCCAATAATGCAGTCTGGAATGACACGTCTGGTATATTGACCTTCCTGTCAAGTCACCCAATTTTTTGCCGCTCGCCCATCTCGCGGCGAAATGGACACGACCCTCGCTCTGGCGACCAGAACCCCGAATCTATAGCTGAATGACTAAACTCGGCCGAACGTTTTGGAAAGGGAGACTGCGCAGAGATGACAGCGTAGGTACAAACATGGGGCTGTAAGCACCCTAGGACTCTCACCACAAGCGGAGGTTTGATGTGTCCGTCTTAGAGTGCACATGACCACGATTAATAACCCTGCTCGCGTTGCGTGAAATACGCTCACTTTCACGTTTCACCAGGCAGCCGAAGAACGGATACAGAGTCCGTACCAGACATACTGCATCAGCTAGGGCGATTGCGTGCCTGTCTTTCAAGGCTAGCACTGTGCTTCGCAATTTGGAATTCAACGGCTAGCGAGTCCACTCTATGTTTGATGATATCTCAATTAATTACATCCCATCAAGAGCGGCTTATCGTGTTCTACAAATACGCACCAGTTCTTATTGCCTGTTTGTAAAAGATAAATCAGCAGCGCAACACGTAAAGCGTCCAATTACGCAAAAGAACGGAACGAAAAAAAACCCAGAGGGAAATGAGCTTTAGAACGAAGCTCTCTTCTAGCAGAGCACACGTCAGCATTGACGGCTCTGATACAGAACATGTGGGTGATCACGAGCGACGCCACTGGCTTAGTTTGTCTCGACATCTGGCGTGAAACGTATAGTGTGGCTCGGTTAAAATGTTTGCGGTTCTCGGTGTGCGTCCATGCATTCATGCCTCAAATGAGCTTCTACGCCTGCAACCAGTGATCGCACCTTCATGCAAGTTTTAGCAACAATTGGGAGAGTTCCTTGAAAGCTGTGTTCAAGCAATGTCAAGTTCTCCTTGCAGGCATGCGACCTATATGACAATATATTTTTCCTAAAACATTGCAGTGTCGCAAACATCTAAGCCCAATCCCTCGGGGAAGGGACGAGTCTACAGAACAAGTTGATTTACTTTTTTCTTAATACAAACGAGACATTTGATCCAAGAACAGTACGCTTCAGCCCCAAAGCATGAACAGCGAGAGCATTGACATTTTTAATGTTTCTTTTCTCGACCGTTATTGCACGGAGGAAGACATCGTCATTAGCAAGATGCACGAACTTGAAATCACCCTTTACAAAGGTCATGAAAAATAAAACAGTTTAATCCCTGCAGCGCCAAGAGTAAACTTCTGGCGAAAGGAAACATCAAATAATCTGGGAGGTTATGCCGAAGCCGTCTGCGTATTTAACACGTTTTCCACTGGGTTAGAATAGACTGTTTTCGATATGCGACGAGTATAATTTGATAATGTCAGAAAGCTGAAAAAGAAGGACAGAAACTGGGTCCTGACTTCGGGGATCCGGAGTCTGAGTGACACGATAGCGGTGCAGTCCGGTGCTGCCGGGAGAGAATACACCCAATGGATCAGCGGAAGTGTGGGTAGGAGTGTGCAATCGGCCAGGCATACTCAAGCGGAGTCATCGTGCGCTGGTTCTGAGCCTTTAGGGATGGCTGAAAGATCTTGACAATCAGAGAAGTTAACGACAAAGCGTTGTGAAGGTGGGAGTATTGTCCACACATTGCTTTATCTCAGCGCTGTGCAGCCCACAAGGTCGATCGGGAATCGGTGACTGTCGGTCCACATCATCAACCAACCGGGAAGCAGCCGATCTCGCTTTATTTAGACCAATGCAGGGGGATGCACTGAGGGAGATCCGCAAAAACTACAGAGGGGCGTAGGCGTGTGGTCCACCTCATCTCATTGTGACCTCATTCACGTCGCTGCAACCAATGTTCACAGTGAGAGATCACATTCTTCCAATGCTTTGATGACAGCCACCGAAGTTGTAAATAGTTCCGCGCCCATTTCATTAACAAATGCTACCAGACTTGACCAGACATAAAGTTAGAATTTTTGTGAAAAGCGAACGATTCGTGCGTCATCATGAGCCCTGTTATGCAGCACCAGCAGCTGCAGTGACCATGGTAGTTCTCACCGGCCTTGGCGCAACTGTGATTCGGGCACGGCCCCCACGCGTAAGCAGAAGGTGCGATAACTACTCACCCATTACGCCCCCCTGCCAATTTTCAACCAATGCCATTTGCTGATTCACGCGCGAACACTGTACTTAACATACATGTCCTTTCCCACCAAGCCCACGAGAGAAAGGCATTTAAAAGAAAAATTGATAAGGCATACAAAGGCTGCCAAGCTCACTGGCTCCGCGTGCTCGAATTCTGGAACCATCTACATCATAGCGACATTCACATCTGTTATCACATGGCTTGTTCCAGGTTGCAAAAAGCGTCCTGCTGGCTTTCTGTGTCGATGATCGCTGACACACACATGCATACATGCATGCATACATATAAAGCGCGTTAGCAAAGCAGTTTGGTTATTTGTTGCGTGTTTTGGTGCAGTAAATATGCATGCAGGAGAATTTCGTTTGGTGTTCCAACTAGTACCAAAAAGCTTATGCTTTCAACCGCCTATTGTACGTCATTTCGTGACGTATGCAAATGTTAATGGCTATCAGGCATATTTGCAACCATAAGCCATTTGGAAATTATCGCCTAATGAAAATATGATTGTAAGACGCTTTAAACCACTGAGAGGGCCAACAATGCATTGAGTTTTGCGTTTCACGCAGAATGAATAGCCAATAGCTTACTGACAGTTCTGATTTCGGTCTCGCAAAGATGGGAGGTCCAGCTTTAAAAAATCAGGTGCAGCATTGGTGCTGTAGTGTAGGTGCGCAAAGGCTCACTGACAATACTACATCAGTGACGACAACAACCACACTAAAAATATGAACGCGAGCTCACTCCCCGCCTTCGTTTGCCGTCAGACGGGTGCCGCCGCCGCTGCCGCCGCCGCCGCCCCTGTCGCTGCGGCCGCCGCTGGTGCCGCTGCTGCTGCTGCTGCTGGTGGCCGTGCTGCCGGCGGCGCGCAGCGCGCACTGCCGGCGCGCCTGGCAGCCGCACCAGCAGCGGCTTCTGGTGCGGTGTGACGTAGCCAGCCTTCAGGCGGAGCTGGACCCGGCGCCTCTGCGACTGCGGCCGCACGAGGCTGTGCGCCGACTGCATCTGGTCTGCGTGGAGACGGGCCTGCCGCACGGTCCCCTGCACCCGGGCGCCTTCCGGCTCTTCCCCGACCTCGAGGTCAGTGCTGTGGTGTTCCGCACAAGGCGCGGCGGCCTGCTGATGTCTCCCGCCACCGGTGGGGCTAAGAGCCCACAAGTAACCAATGTAATCAGGTTGACTGCAGTGATGTCCACAGCTCGTGCGCGCTCTGCAGTGCATAAACGCTATGGAGAAACGAGCCAATTTTTTCCGACCCGCTGTAACGCGGTGAAGCTTCTTTTGCGGTTGAGCAAAATCGATAGCATACACGTAATGGCTATATATGCCTAACCTATCCCTACATTGGCCTAGATTTTGGACTCCCCCTCCCCCCCCCCCCCTCCACTCTGCGTCAGTAACCGCACACACTCCGTTGCGTTCAGCTGTGTGGTGGAGAATGGCACTGATTTGTCTCTTGTAGCTTCCTAACCCATGTGTGAGGAATTATCAGTGAACACGTTTTTACCAGAATAAAAGACTAATCGTCCACGCTTTGATTGATGGTCGTTGGGCAGGGAGCCCCATAATCTCACCGATCTCTCGATGTCAGTTCATCAGCTAGCTGAAAATGAAGTGACATTCAAATGGGGCCTGTGCAGGTGGCTGGCGGCGAATCCCATTACCATTGTGTGAACAGGTCGGACGGCAGGACGCCGGCGCGATTCCATCTCCGGAGCGGCGGCTGAGGGACGCCATTTGCATTTTCCAGGATCTGCGGATCGAGCAGTGCCTGATCCAGGAGCTGTCGCGCGCCTCGTTAGAGGGCCTGCACAAGCTTAAGAACCTGACATTCCGCACCAACGGCGTGGAGTGGTCGACCGCGGCCACGCTGCGCCTCTATCCGGACACGTTCGCCGGGCTGCCGCAGCTGGAGCTGCTCGACCTCGGCGGCAACAACCTCTGGTCACTGCCGGCCGGCGTATTCTGCCGCCTAGACCAGCTGCTCACGCTCAACCTCACCAACAACCGGCTCAGCGACCTGACCAACGTGTCGATGGCGGCGACTGGCGGCGGCGCCTGCCGCCTGGCCGTGCGCGACCTCGACGTGTCCGGCAACAAGCTGGTGTCGCTGTCGTCGCGGCACTTCCCCGGCCTGCCGCTGCTCACGCGCCTCCTGCTGGACCGCAACGAGATTCGCGAGCTGGGCGACGGCCTGCTGCGCGCGCTGCCCGCCCTGCAGGTGCTCAACGTCTCCAGCAACCGGCTGTCGGCGCTGCCGCCGGACGCCTTCCGCGGCGCCGCCGCGCTCACCGAGGTGCACCTGCAGCGCAACGAGCTGCGCGTGATCGCGCCGGGCGTGTTCGCCGGTCTCTCGAGCCTGCTCGTCCTCGACCTGTCGCACAACCGGCTGTCCGGCGACTGGGTGAACTCGGACACGCTGGCGGCGCTGCCCGGCCTGGTGGTGCTGCGGCTCGCGCACAACAACGTGTCGCGCGTCGATCCAGCCATGTTCGAGTCGATGCGGCAGCTGCGCGTGCTCGCTCTCGACGCGAACGCGCTCGAGACGCTGCCGGCGGGCGGGTTTGGCCGGCTCGGGGCGCTCACCGAGCTGGGGCTGGCGCACAACGGGCTGACACGGCTGCCGGCCGGTGCGCTGGGCGGCCTCGGCGCGCTCACCAGCCTCTCGCTGCGCGCCAACGCGCTGGTCGAGCTGGACGAGGCATCGCTGGTCGAGGCGGCAAAGCTGCGCACGCTCGACTTGGCCGACAACCGACTGGCGGGCGTGCCGGCGGCGCTGGGTCGGCTGGCGCGGCTCAAGTCGCTCGACATCGGCGGAAATCGGATCGAGCGCCTCGACAACGCGTCGCTCGCGATCCTGCCCGAGTTGTTCGCGCTCGAGTTGGAGGGCAACCACATCAGCGCGCTCGTGGACGCGCCCTTCGCCAACCTGACGAAGCTGCGCGCGCTGAACCTGGCGCGGAACGAGTTAGAGTCGCTGGAACCGGACGTGTTCGGCGTTCTGGAGAATCTGCAGATGCTGCGGCTGGACAGCAACCGGCTCGTATCCGTGCGCGGAGCGCTGACCGGTCTGGACAGCCTCAAGTGGCTAAATGCCTCCAACAACCGTCTGTCGTCGTTCGACTACGCCGACGTGCCACGAAGTCTGGAGTGGCTCGACCTGCACAGCAACCGGCTGACCGAGCTGGCGAACACACAGGAGCTGGAGAAGGAGCTGCAGCTGAAGACGCTGGACATCAGCTTCAACAGCATCGACACGCTCAGCCCGTTTCAGCTGCCCGATCGGCTGGAGACGCTGATCGCCAACGACAACGTCATCTCGCACGTGTACCCGTACACATTCTTCCGCAAGCAGAACATCTCGCGCGTGGTCCTGTTCGCTAACCAGATCACCACCATCGACATCAACGCCTTCCGCTTGAACCTGGGCCCCGGCCACGCGCGGCCCGAGTTCTACATCGGCGGCAACCCGGTCATGTGCGACTGCCAGCTGCACTGGCTGAGTGAGCTCAACGCCAACAACGACTCGTCGCAGTACCCACGCCTCATGGACCTCGAGAGCCTGTTCTGCCGGCTGGCGTTCAACGTACAGCGAAACCACATGCCGCTGGTGGAGGTGCCTCGCTCACAGTTCCTCTGCCCGTACACCAGCCACTGCGCCACGCTCTGCCAGTGCTGCCAGTTCGACGCGTGCGACTGCGAGATGACGTGCCCGGCCAACTGCACGTGCTACCACACGGCCGACTGGACGGGCAACATCGTCGACTGCACGTCCGCGGGTCACACAGTGCTGCCCGAGCACATCCCGATGGACGCCACCGAGCTCTATCTGGACGGCAACCGGCTGCCGCGACTCTCGAGTCATGCCTTCATCGGGCGGCGCCACCTGCTCGTGCTCTACCTGAACGACAGCCGCGTGCGCACCGTCACCAACCGCACATTCAACGGGCTCACCGGCCTGCAGGTGCTGCACCTCGAGCGCAACCAGATCGCACGCCTGCATGGCTTCGAGTTCGACTCGCTCTCGCTGCTGCGCGAGCTCTACCTGCACAGCAACGCCATCGCCAGCATCGGCAACGGCACGTTCGCGCGGCTGACGTCGCTGCAGGTGCTGCGGCTCGACGGCAACCGGCTGGTGCGCTTCGCGCCTCTGCAGCTGGCGCGCCACGCGCACCTCATGTCCGTCAACGTCTCGGACAACCGGTGGACGTGCGACTGCGACTTTCTGGAGCGGTTGCGCGGCTGGCTAGCGACGGCCGGCGGCGCGGTGGTGGCGGCAGAGCGACTGGTCTGCTTGCCGGGCTCCGGCGCCCCGCCGCGCCTCGTCGCCGACCACAACGCCACCACCTGTCGCCTGCTCAACAGCACGGTGGCCACGCAAGTGTACCAGGGCCGCGCCGCCGGTGACTACGCGTTCATCGTAGCGGCGTCCGTGCTGGCGCTCGTGGCCGTCGTCGTGGCCGTGGTGGTGTACGTGTTCTGGCACGAGATGCGCGTAATAGCCTACGCCAAGTACGGCGTGCGAATATTCCGCGGCGGCGCGCGTGCCGAGGCCGACCGCGACAAACTGTTCGACGCGTTCGTCAGCTACAGCGCCAAAGACGAGACGTTCGTGTTGCAGGTGTTGGCGAGCGAGCTGGAGGGCGACGCGCCCGGCTTCAAGCTCTGCCTGCACCACCGTGACTTTCCTGTGCGCTCGTACGTGGCCGACACAATAGTGCAGGCGATCGAGGCGAGCCGGCGAACTATTATGGTCTTATCGGACCACTTTATCAGGAGCGAGTGGGGCCGGTGCGAGGTCAAATCGGCACACCACCAAGCGCTCAGCGGCCGCGCCAGCCAGCTCATTGTGATAATTGTCGGCGACGTGCCCACCCGGGAGCTGGACCCGGACCTCAGGCTCTATCTGAAGACGAGCGCCGTGCTGCACTGGGGCGACTCGCTCTTCTGGGAGAAGCTCCGCTACGAGCTGCCCGACACGCGGGCGGCGGCGCGCAGCGGCCAGGCGCCGGCCTACGAGTACCCGATGGCGGTGCACATCTGAGGCGGCCGTCGCCGCCGCCGCTGGCTAGTCACGTCCACCGCTCGCCGACTAAGCGACGCTGACAGAGGCGGGCTGACAAGCGGCGGGCGGCCCTCTCCGGCGGTTGCGCCGTGCCTGCTCTGCCTGCGTACTGACGCCACAGTGTCGGCGCCGTGACAGCATAGGCCGAGCTAGACACTGATCCGTCCTCCCAACTCTCTCTCTCTCTCTCTCTCTCTCTCTCTCTCTCTCTCTCTCTCTCTCTCTCTCTCTCTCTCTCTCTCTCTCTCTCTCTCTCTCTCTCTCTCTCTCTCTCTCTCTCTCTCTCTCTCTCTCTCTCTCTCTCTCTCTCCCCTCTGTTTCCCTCTCTCCCGCTCTTTTTGGTTTCGCCTCACACCCTCGCTATATCTTTTTCCATATCTAATTTCATGGTCTGACTAGAGGTTTTCGGGGCACGTATCTGAGATCGGTATTGCGGCACAGTTGTGATAAACCGTGACAGTGTACGGAGGCGCCGTGCCCTAATGCCAGGTACGCCACACCCAGAGCCGGCCTGTTCCTTCTTTGTTTCCACGAGTCGACTGGCAGGAATTTATGGCTTATAGTTTTATGCAAATGACTGTGATCGCAAAATGAGTCTGATATTTATGACCGTATTATATAAATAAACGGATTGTTGCTGCCCATGGCATCAACAGCTATCGTGACATGCAGCAGTTGTTCGCTGTTTTGCGAGCCCGCTAAAGAAAGATAGTGGTGATGCTAATTGAGGCCGATGATAATGTGCTGAATCGCAGATTCATGCAGCGCTGCGTCACGCTCAGACCTGCGATTGCGACTTTTTCCCGTGCCCCTGCCCTGCCACTCCCACACTAGCTTCTACGATTCACACTATTCAGCAGAACAATTAGCAACACCCTTTAAACGCTCCACTTACGTTCGAAGTGTGTGACTTTGTGCAATCCACGCGCCTCGTGGGCCGAGGCACCGGTCGAACAACGCCCGGCTAAGCGGCACTCGTCGTAGGGCGTCCACCCTCCGCCCTCACGTGCCGCCCGTCCATGTGTGCCTCCGGCCCTCGACGCCGCCCGGGTTGGCGGGTGCCCGCGGCTCAGTCACGGCGTTTCAAAACAAGAGGACTGGAGGGTACTCGACGCTGAAGGAGGCAGTCACGGCCCCTCTGGGACGGGCCGGCGAGGGCGGACTCGACGGACAGGTCAGCAAACAAAGAGGCCGACGGCTGGCCGGCGAGGCGCGTGTCGAAGGTCGAGGTCCGAGGGGAACGGAAGGAGGCTGATGGGACCGTGCCGATGACGGTGATATGGGACCTTGCTCATGCCGAATGAAGCGGAAATCAGCTAACCAGGTATAATTGTCAAGGCACGAATCTGTTATCTGGAGCTAAAATCAAAACCGACAATGGGATTTGTTAAAATGTTATGTGCTTGCTGGAGTCATAGACTCAGTGAGGCAAAATTACGTCCGAGATAAGGCAAGTGTGCCACAACAAAAGGCTTAAATCCTGTTTTGAAATAAATCGGGCCAATCGGCACGTCCGGAAAAGACTTCCATGAGGTAACGGAGCTTGATGGAACACGATAAAGGGACTATTTTTTCGGGGGGCCCGACGCACGCTGTCACGCATCCTTCGCGGAGCGCTAGTGACTGCACGGCTGCGCCATGGCAGCGCTCAAGGGCCATGGCGTACCGAGGTTTGAGCTTGCACCCCCACGTGAGAGTCCAAGAAGGTCCTACGAACTGCTTCTGTAACAAAATACGAGCCTGTACACTTACATACAGACAAATTATGATATGTTACATGCATTGGTCAGCAACAGCGGCCTCAAGTTGCCCATCAACGAGCAGCGATGAACCATCCCCGACGTTGGCAAGCCATAAGTGATCAAAGTTAGGCTGATTAACCACGGTCACGCAATTGTTTGATACTTGATCCTGTTCACAACAGCTGGTCCACAGCCTCCCTTGCAGTCCGAGCCCCTCAGTCCGCGGTCGGAACTGGGATGTGCAGGTCCACATCGTGCCCAGGTCAGCTAGGCAGGGCCAGGCGGCGCCGTGCCCAGGTCACCTCGGCAGAACCAGGCGGCGCCGTACCCGGGTCACCTGGACAGGGCCAGGCGACGCCGTGTCCGGGTCACCTGGGCAGGGCCAGCCGGCGCCGTGCCCGTGTCACTTGGGCAGGGCCAGGCGGCGCCGTGCCCGGGTCGGCTGGGCCGGGCCAGGCGACGCCGTGCCCAGGTCACCTGGGCAGGGCCAGCCGGCGCCGTGCCCGTGTCACTTGGGCAGGGCCAGGCGACGCCGTGCCCGGGTCACCTGGGCTGGGCCAGGCGGCGCCAGGCCCGCGCCCATCCGCGACGCAGAGCGGCGCTCTGTCGAGACAGATGCGCCGCCGCCGGCGCTGCGCTCCGCGGCAATGGCACAGCGGACAGCGAACTTCAATTAGGCGCTGATTTAGATTCGTCCGGCCGGCGCCTCGCCGCCCGGCCGCGGACGCCCTCCCTAATGGCGTAATCGGGGCGATCTGGGTTTTTTGCCGGGCGCTGCGGCGGCCGGGGGCGGCGCGGCCAATAGTGGCGCCCGGTGCGCCTTTTTGTCGCGCGTCACGCCGGACAGCGTGTTCCCGCGCGCCGTTCGCGTCGCGTCGTCCGACGCTGTTGTGACACGGCCGCTGCGCTGTGTGGACCGGCCGGGCGCGGGCGTCGTCGCCGGGGCGGGGAGGAGGAGCGGCCGGCGCGGGCGACGCTCTAGTGCCGCCGCCAGCTGACTGTGACGTGCGACACGGCCGGAACGACAGGCGGTGTCGCTCATTGGCTTTTACAATCGGTGTGTAACGGCCCTCTCATTAGCGTCATGTTGCCTCTTACGAGAGCTGCAATCGCTAAGAGGCACGAGAGCTTCGTAATCGTTACTGCTTCCGTACGATATCTGCAAGCGCGGACGCGTAGGCGTTGGCTGATGACTCCGGTGACTTACTGGAATTGGTTGCCGTTTCGTGTGGCTCACAGCAGACTCTCAGTCTCAGATTCATCAGTATGTTTACAAAAGAGAGCCAAGTGCACGGAAATTTAACGTTGTATGAAACGAGGAAGTGAGGGCGAATGTAGTGGTTTCATACGCTGCGTTACGACAATAACATTTCAAGCGTATCTAATCGGGATTCACAGTTACTGTACAAGAGGAAATAAAGTCAGCATCACAGTTCACGGGCACTTGGCACGCATTTGAAGGAAGGACGTTTCCGTGACCGTACAGCGGAGCTCGGTAGACAGAGCCGGACCCGGAGCCACGGGCCCCGGCTAACACCGGGCGGCTTCGGTGGACAAAGGCGGAGCTGGCGCCCACGGGCCTCGGCTACTACCGGACGGCTTCGGTGGACAGAGCCGGAGCCGGCGCCCACGGGCCTCGGCTACTACCGGGCGGCTTCGGTGGACAGAGCCGGGGCTGGCGCCCACGGGCCGCGGCCACTACCAGGCGGCTTCGGTGGATAGAGCCGGAGCCGGCGCCCACGGGCCCCGGCTACCACCGGGCGGCTTCAGTGGGCGGAGCCGGAGCCGGCGCCCACGGGCCTCGGCTACTACCGGGCGGCTTCGGTGGACAGAACCGGAGCTGGCACCACGGGTCCCGGCTACTACCGGGCGGCTTCGGAGGGCAGAGCCGGAGCCGGCGCCCACGGGCCTCAGCTACTACCGGGCGGCTTCGGTGGGCGGAGCCGGAGCCGGCGCCCACGGGCCTCGGCTACTACCGGGCGGCTTCGGTGGATAGAGCCGGAGCCGGCACCCACGGGCCTCGGCTACTACCGGGCGGCTTCGGTGGGCAGAGCCGGAGCCGGCGCCCACGGGCCTCGGCTACTACCGGGCGGCTTCGGCCGCTCCCCCTGCCCGGGGCGTCCGTCCAGCTGCCTCACAGCGTAGCGCTGGGTGCGTCATGCCCCACGTGGAAGCGTCACCAGACCGGCGCCGGGTGAGTCAGCCGACACTCCACCGTGACTCAGGCTGGTGCCACTCATGGCTGGCGTGCGGTTTGGCTGTCCAAGACACAAACAAAATGCGAATTGTCCCACAGAATGCACAAGGTCAGCGTCAAAAGTTACTTGCAAGTCAATGTAATGCATCTTTAAACGTGGTATACGGGGGCGGCATGCATGCACGTACCATGGGCGGGGAGTGCCTCGTCCTAGGGAGATGGCATGTGGATAGCAACCCATTGCACCAGACTCGACCGAGGGCTTCAAATGACAAGCTGTGACTATTGGACTGTTTGTTGAGGCGAGACGCCATGATGAAAATCGCGATGCTTCGCGATTGTGTTTCTCTTCGTGTGTGTTATATAAGCTCTAAAAAACACTGGATAACTTTCGTGACCAAAGATCATTAAGCATACACAGTACTCAGGTGGTGAACGTGCACATCACTACAAAAAACGATGGGATGTGTCGAGACTGGCGGTGATCCCAGAGCATCCCAGTTGCGCTTTGGAAGCGGAGCATTAAACAAAAAAACCGGTGACATGACCTCTGGCCCCGGGAGTTTCACCTCCATGGGATGGTCCATTCTCCCAAAGCGTCAGTTTTTCGATTCTGCGGTCGTGCTATAGTGCGTTGCACAAAATAAAGCAGGAAAAAGTGGGCGTGGACATTTTCGGCCACTCAGCCTGTCCAGCCCACGACTTTTCGGCCACTCAGCCTGGCCAGCCCACGACTTTTCGGCCACTCAGCCTGGCCAACCCACGACTTTTCGGCCACTCAGCCTGGCCAACCCACGACTTGCCGTGCATTAGGTGCGTGGTCAACGGCGTCACCATGGCCGCTCTCCAGTACGGACCAGCTCCGGCCTCGAAATCCGCTGAAAGTGGTGGCCAGAAGCTGTGGTTTGCTACCTCAGGAGCTTGTGAAACCACAAGTGAAGGCAGTCCGGCTCCGTGGACGCTGTCAGGCAGTGTATCGAATACCGAGTGGGTGATTAAGCTGCCGTGTCAGCCCATCATATCACCTAAACTCAATGCAAATAGAAAATTCCGGTTCGTGGTATAGCAGGAAAGCTGGACAGCGTGCTGCTGCTGATAAGCCTGTAAAGAGGACCCGTCCGCAGAAAGCATTTTTGGGTTACTTGACAGGTTTGAAGTGCTTCTGATTGGGCAGTTGGTGAGGAGCAAACTAGTTGTTGAGCTTTGCAGCAAGTCATTTCATGTAAGGTCTAGTATGGTTATGATGTCACTTCAAAACACTAGTTACGTAAACGTACAT